CTCGGAATCAGGGAGGAGCTTATGAACCGGCCCTAACGGGGTAGGGAGAGACCCCCCCCCACCATAAACTCTGCCAACCAGCCGCAGACCTGAGTGGGGAGCGAGGGCGGGCCGGCCATTAAGGCAGCATGGATTTAAAGACTCAAAAGTCTGCATTCAACTGGCCTTTCCCTGACGCAGTCGCACCTTTCCTTTCAAATCCTGCAAGCTGGTAAGAGAGAGAAACTTTGGCTTTGTAGCCGATCGCAACCATCGGTTTGCTTTGCAACGGCAGCACAATAGGCCAGATCCAGGGAAAACAGTGCAAGGATTTCCCAACACCGAAGAACGTAAAGAGCAAGAAAAATGCTTCTGGGGCAGGATAAGCATCGCTCTCGGGGGAAAAACAGCCACGTTTTAGATTCTTAGCTTTGGACAAAGGCTGGTCGATCAATGTACACGTGGCATGGGGAAAGCCTCCTCCCCCCTCCTCCCCACTCCTCCAGCTCAGAGCCTATGAGCTAAGGTGACTATGGAAAGTCCCTTCCTAAAAGACAGGGCTCTGCCAGCTGCAACAGAAAATGGGGTCATGGGGAAAAAAGGACACTGAGGGCTGCCAGTAAGAGATGCTCCCTTCAGATCAGCCTGTGGGAAACAGGAAGGGTGGGGTATGTGTGTGTGTCTGTGTGTCTGTGCGCGTGCCAGACTGACAGCCTTCAGAAAAGGGGGCTGGCCTGGAGGGCACTTGGCCCGGCACCAGAACACGAGTCCTCTCACCTCTGCCTTTCTCTCCCTGGGGTTTCTTCCTCCTTTCTTGTTCCTTGGGAGCAGCGACTGGGCATCTACCTTGCGGAGAGCTTTGGAAACAAAAGTGCTGGAGAAATCCAGCTCCTCCTGTGGGGAAGTGATGGAAGGCAGCAGCTCAGACAGCCCAGAGACCCCTTTGGGAGGAAAACGGAACCAGCACTGCCCCCACCTTATAGGAAACCCAAACCAGGGACTAACGTGGCCAAGGCCGTCTTGCTGCAGTTTTAATGGTTGGTGGAGGATTAGCATTTTCTCCGCCTCCAAAGCCGGGATGACAAACCAACAAAGAAGCCAGACAGGACCAGATACCTTCACCCCCACACACACCCCCGCCCCAAATATGCCTCCTGTATCAAATCTCAGACTCCCAGCCTCCTTGTGGACTGCTTTTCCCCTGTCCACTCACTGGCCCAGGCTCACCTCTGCCGCCTCTTCCTCCTCCAGGCTCCTGCTGGGGCTCCCGCCTGGGGAGGCTTCATTGAAACTCCCCTCTGAGTCAGGGATGCCATCATCCAAAGTTCCCTCATCTTGTCCAGCTGGAGATTTATTCTATGGAGAGGAAAAAAAAACCTTGGAGGATCCAGGAACTAACCTGCCCTCTGGACAAATGAGTCGGGATGTTTGCAGAGCTGGAAACCAGCACATTCTGCTCAAATCTCCGTCTGAGCAAAGTGATTGGCTGGAGTGTCACAAGGCTGGGACTGAGGGCAGCTCCTGGGGCTACTCTCTGATGAAGGCTGAGCTCCACCCGCCCACGGCAGGCAGGAGGCCCACTGGGAACAGCTGCCGGCGCACCCAGACGATAAGACTCACGGCTTCGCTCTTTGCCTTTAGCTCCAGTGTCCGCTTCTCCTGCCTCTTCCGGTCCTTCTGCCTCTGGGGATAAGAGAGCATCAGTTTCCCAGCCACTCAGCCCCCCCCCCTTTCCAAGAGGCAAAGGAGCCGCACTGGCACGGTTACCTTCTTCCTCATCCTCTTCCTCTCAGCCTTCTTCTTCAGCCTTTCCTCCTCAGCGACCAGCAATTCTGCATTCCGCTCAGCCTCCTGAAAGAGAGCAGTGGAACAGCCTCCTTATCCACCAAGCCGCCCACCATCACGGCACACGGCTGTCTCCCAGGAGCAGGTGGGAAGACAAGGGACCCCACGGGCCGAGGGCTACCGCTGGCCGTTGCCTGGCACCAAGGATAATGTTCCAATAAATAAGCAGCAGCACCACAGAAATAAACACAGTCTAACTTCGCTAGAGAAACCAGAACGACGAGTGGGATTCTTCCTTAGGGAGGCCACAACGTTTCACATTTTAACAATGTTGATTCAGCAGCAGTTTCTGGAACCCTCTGGGAAGCGGCTTTGTTGAGATCAAGAGCTACCAGGGAATGAGGTCATTCAGACCTGGGAGCTTTCCAAAGGTGAAGCGCGTCAAATGAGCCCTGACTCACCTCAGCTGTAAGTTGCGGTTTCTGGGGCAAAGCGAAGCCCAAAAGGGTGACGTCCAGACGGCTGCTGAGAGGAGGGAGAGATGCAGAAGGCGGGCAAAGAAAGGCCCTCTGGAAACCGCAGAATGTGGCGTAAGGACCATCTTGAGCTTCTTCACTGTCGTCGTTTTCCTCTGCTTCCTCACTGCTGTCTTCCCAGTCCTCATACGTCGCATAGTTAATTACACTATACCAGTAAGGCTCTGCGTTCAAATCTGAAAGGGGACCACAAGAGGCTCGAGTAAGCAAGTGGGCAGTCAAACATTCTTCCTGGCCGGGCCTGCGAATGAGACGCCCGAAGGCATTTCATTTTGCTTCCAAAGGCACCAGGGTCACCTCGCTCCCTCCCTCCCTCCCGGGTTATCCCCGTTCTCCTTTGGCTTCTTGCCCACCTTCTCCGGTTCTAAAGGCCCGAGAGCCTCCAGGGCCCCGTTCCCAGCCTGCTGCTAGTCGGCCTTATTCAGCAGGGAGGGTTGGAGGAGAACCGATTTCTATTCCTCCTTTGCTTTTCTACCGAGCCTGAGGCTGCCACCCCGCCGCTTTTTCCCCGCAACCGCAGCCCTGCGCCTTCCGAGACCTTCGTCCCCAAGACGCTGCCGGCGCTTCCTTCGCTCGGCACCCCGCGGCTTCCCTGCTGGTGGCGACGGTCTCGCCTGTCTCGGCCAGGCCCTTCCCGCCCCCGCTCTTCCGCTCCTCTCCCCGCCCCCCCCCCCCCCCCACACAGCCCCCACCCCCCCCCCCGCCCCCCCCCCCACCCCCCCCCCCCCCGCCCCCC